GAATGTCTGATGGTGTAGGTGTGTGTCTTCGTCCCGGACCTGTATTAAATCGACCATAACAGTTTACATATCAGCAGCAAAATTTCTATATAATTTACTTTGAAGTTTTGGAAAATTTCATTTCTTTGGAGTAGCACTTAAGCTTACCTGAAAACCGATACATTACCAAGCATGCGATCAAAACCAGTTGTCATTGTAATTTTTTCATAAATAAACCAAAACCAGATTAACGCACATAGAGAGCTATGCATATTTGAAGCCTGGACAATACTACATTTGACGTTTCCATTGGAAAGTGTAACATTTGTGTCCATAGTTGGTCTGGTTGGATTCCACATAATTTGACAAAACCTTAAAAAGATGCCTGTGACGATTGGTCCATTGCCGACATTAGTAAGCTATACGCAGTGGGCTTTCCAGAGGGTTTTTAGTTTTATTTTACTATCTTGTCTTCTCTATTACACCAATCATTAAATGAGAAGAGTGTAGTAGATTTGCCTTTCCATTTTCAAACATTCAAGAACAGTGAAGATGATGCGTATATAGTGTTTTTTCGAGCATAATCATGCCCCCCCGTCTGCTGTTCGAGCCTGACTGGTTCCGAAAAGTATCAAAAAGCTAAAGGTTGGCGTAACGTAATCTGCGCTTAAAAACGCCCACAATAGGCAAAATGCCGTCATATAACGTAAAATGGCCCGTTACAGCCAAACTTTTATAAATGCCATAAGCGAAATGCTCTAACTGCCAATCCATAGCAAAGAATGATTTCAGACTTGGTGCGAATGTTTCGGACGACCATCTAAGAGGTGATTGCAAAAATTTGCCGATAGCTTATGTAATAACGAAAATATTTAGCCATTTCTATAACGGCTTTCAAGGTTAATCAAGGGGTTTGTCCTCAAACACGCATGAATTCCTAACGTTTTTTTTGAGCCCCTTTTTTGCAATGATGAATGAAAACTTCTCATACTTTAACGAAATCTGATTAAATTTTACCTTTAAACTGCGCGTCTCTTGTGGCTTCTGTGAATGTTATTCTCCCCCAATTTATATAAATTGTCAAAAAGATTTAATTATCCTTCCACCTGCATATGATTGCTTTATTTAGATATCGTTTCAAAGTTTTATCAAATTTTCTATTTTTTAATGCTCTTTATAGAAAGAAATTTGCATTTAATTTAATGAAGTCTTTTAATAAAAAGTACTAAGATGAAATGATGGCAAAAGTTAATGCACTCGTTTTGTTACGTCGTATCTTAATTTCAATGTTTTAATTACTTTAATAAGCATATAAGATTTTTTTAGTTATACCTATAAATTTTTATAGATAATTTACTTTTATTAATGCAATTTTAATCTCATTTCATTGTTTCGTTTGCTTTTATCTTTGCTCGTTTCAGTACTAACCAAGGGTCAAGGAGAAACTGCCCGTTACCGTTTCTTAGGTAAATATGGCGGTTACTGTTGGCTAGTGACTCAAGCCACTATTGTTTATGAAAAATTAAAACCCCACAGTGTTATATGTGTGAATTATGTCATTAGGTAAGTTTTCAAATTTTCCCTAATTTAATTATATAAAGATTATATTAAATCGAACAAACAAAGTATTAATGAGTTGTATTTAAATAAATTTATATCGTATCTATTCATGGTTTTTCTCTTTCCTTCAAATTAATACTACATTCAAAGACATAACACAAATAATTTCCAACCTGAAAGTATGTTCTGCTTATATGCTATGTTTAAGAGTAAACAGAAGGACATGATTTTGCCGCCTGTGATTTAGAAATAATTTCGACCCTGAAGTTAGGCAAACGTTTTTTGTGTTTTCAATTTTTATCACATATGTTTTTTTGTAAGCTTTGCTTAACAGCCATTTTACTTTTTATATTCAATTCTTTGTCATTTAGTTGAACTAACTTAACGATTAGTTAATTAAATAAAAATAAAAAAAAAATAAAATTTTCCGTCATTCAGTTTGATAGGCTTTCTTAAGCTCTACAAATATTTATAAATTAAAAATAGATGATTGAGGAAAAGTTGGAACCATTTTAGCTGAATGAAATGTTAATGAATTGCTTTAATTAGTAAAGATATGTATGCTTAGCCTTCATAGCACTACAAGGCACACATTAAGATAATTTATGGAATTGCTTACAGCATATTTGTTTTGCAGACAGGTCCTATTACTAAGGATTTTGGACTATAATTCGGCTTTTCTTTTAGTTGAATTCTTTTTTATTTTTCTTATGTTATGCTCATCTCCTACTTTAATCCCAAAATGTATTTCCCTGATCTCAATAAAATAATAATAATAATATTTTGTTCGTTGTTGATTCTTATTTTAGTTCCTTTCATATTCTAAAAGTTTTGTTTATTTTCTATTTTGGATTAATTGTCAAATCTATATATATCGTGAAGTTGTAATTTTCATTCCATTTTTCAAATTTGATCTTAGGTCCAAATTCGGGTTCCCTCTCCTTTTTCTCTTCGTATCTTCGATTCTTTCAGATCACGACTCTGTCCGCGCTTGCACGCGGATAGGAGATATTCAAAAAAAAAAGCAAAGTAAAACACTCTTATGAGGGCGTACACTATAACAATTGATATATCTCTCCGTTCCAATGCGACAGACAAATAAAATCTGTCTCAAAGAGCAATTCCATTTATGGCAGACTTCCAAGGGGGAAAAATTACCAAGAAATGCTTTCCAAAGCTATTATTTACTTATTTTTTAATTAACAATTAATTTCTTTTACAGCTTTACAGGTAAGCGGTATGATCTTTTGTTTTATTTCGTTTAAATACTAATTTAGTCGGAAAAGAGAAAAACAATGAATAAATTTCGTATTTATGAAAGAAGAAAAAAAAACATGTATATACATATATATGTATATATATAACGCATTTTGTCATTTTGAAAAATTAATTTAAATTTCACGGATTTTCGTACTTAACAAGATGAAAGCAAGCGAAATTTTATATGTTGTTGGAAAGGCCCCAAGAATTCGCATTCTTTTCTGCCTTGTTTAAATTACAAATGTAATAAAACGCTTCATAAAGCGTAAATTCTGTTTTCTATTATAATTGAAAAGAAAATTTTATAAGCATTATATCATTAGCGGTCTTTCTCTTAGTCTAGTAGCTACGAAATCTTTTACTGACTCTATAAAGCTAATGAATAAAATTTCAGCAATTGTGTAGAATACTTTCTCGTTATTAAATTATATATAGAGTGATTAAAAGTCAATTAAATGCAGCAATGAATATAGAAAGTAAAGCAATTCGTCTTAAATCGAATTTTTTTCTAACGGCGATAAGATAAGTGAGGGAATCTGTAGATAACCAAACTGGGATCAATTCTATAGGCCCAGCAATTAGAATCGTGTACATTAAATGATAATAATAGCTACAGAGTACTTCAATAGTAATTAAGAAAAAGCACATCGGGCGAACAATTTATTCAATTAATTATCTCATTTTAAAGCTGACGGAGTGGTTGAAAGTAACTCAAACGGAGGCTTTCAACTATTTCAAGTAATTTCTCTCAACTCTGACCGAGTAGCTGAGTACAGTGCTCAGTACAGTATCGACTTAACCGGACATCTTCTAGACGCCGCTCTTAAGTGACAAATTTCGACCCTACATTTATTTAGACAATCTATGAACAGCTTGTTTACATAAAATTTTCTTCTTTTCTTCGTTTTTTTTCTTAAAAAAAAAAAAAATTAATTTCACTTTTAGTTCCAACACTTTCGTCTGATGAATTAAGACAATAGGAATATTTCATTTTGACAGTTGTTGCCAAAAGAAACGTTTGTTAAAAAGGAATTCACTTTCGTTTGTTTTTTTTTTCCTTTTTTATTAATTACCTTATTTTTCACTTAAGATTAATGCACAGCAATGGTGGCCATCTTATTATTATCATCGAATCATTATAAGTAGGAAAAGTAATATTCTAGACTCTTCATCTTTAATTTCTCTATAGGCTGCGTGCTGCTTGAGGTGAGGTGATAATAGTGATGTGTCACAATATGATTAATGCTCTTAAATATATTAGTTGTATGCTCTGGTCCGACATAGTTGTATATCTTTTTGTTGCTTTTTAATTATTAAATAAATATTTTACATAAATCTAATTGATGGCGTTTATAGCTGCTACCGATTAAGAAGAAGAAAATGTAAAAATCTGATTTTTTCTTCTCTTTGCGACACATAGAGGCTTCCTGATGAACATACGTTCAAAATTTTGCGTTGTTTCCAACTTGTCCGTATGTCCGTTCACTTGTCCATCTTCTTGTCGTTAATTGTTTCGGAGCTTATGACCGGTAAAATCGTCAAGCAGTCGAAACATGATAGGAAGCTCCATTGTTAAATTGATTCGCTATAACTTGAGCCTGAATATCGGTGCGACCTGTACTTAAGCACAGTGGCAAGCAAAAGTATATGAAATTGATTTAGTTATAGTGTGGTCATGTTTGCTAGTAATAAAAGTTTTTCATATAAAAAAACAATTAAGAAAATTTGTTGTTGATCTTCCTCTGTTTTGCTTTCCAATTCGAAATTAAACTAAGTGAAAAGTTGCCGGAAAATAAGCAATTAAGGGGACTAAAGTGTTCGCATATATTTGCATAATTAATTTATTGTGTCACGCTACAGAAAAACAGATTATTTAATGTAGTCGAAGGGACGTTTGAATATTTAAGAAAACCATTTTTATGCAGTGTAACGAAACAAGTGTAACTGTCTGCCGTTTTGCGTTTTGTGTGTTGACATTTAAAAGAAGAAAAAAATACACGAAATTGAACAAAAATCGTTTTTTAATTTCTTTCATTTGTATTCGGCGGTATTGGCGTATGCATGGCCGCTTAAGTAGTTTGTTGTTTGTTGCAGGAAAAGCTTTTATGTTAAATAAATTTTTCAATGTATGCGAAGACAAATCTTTACGCATAATTTCCCACAAGATTGCTATCGTTCTATTTACGACGGATGTTAAATTGAGTTTAACGGTCTTTTCGAGAACAGCAGCAACGTTTTTAATTCATATTTAAATTATTTTTCTTCAACTGTTGATGGGAGCATCTGTCGGGAGATATTTTCACTTCAAATTTTTTCTCTTAAAAAGCAGAAACAATCGATCTTCATAACTTCTTTCTGCATATTATTTAAAATTTCGGGATAATTTCAAAAAAGAAAAAGCTTTTTTTATTTTATATTCTTCCACCGATAATGCTTACAAATAACAAACCTCTCATTCTTCTAAAGATTACTTACATTTCATAGTTTATTAAGCACTTTTTCCACTAACTTTTACCACTTATGGAAACGATAATCGAAGTAGTAAACTTTTTTACTGGCATTCCACGTAAGACTTTCTTCCTGCTGATATATTCTCCTCTAAAGGAGTGCAGGAGCAAATCCTGTGAACAGCAATTCTGGAGAAATACAGCACATGTCTCTTATTGCACAGGGGATGTAACACTTACTTTCTTTTTTTTTGGGGGTTTTTCGTGAAAGATTAAGCTGGCAAAATCGGCATCGCTTGATACGTTGGACACAATGATATAAAATTACGTCCATCCGTATACACGGATGGGAGCTCTTAAGTCTTCAATGGGTTTCAAGAGCGTGCAATAAGGGGCTCATTTGTCTACGGGCGGCAAAAGTGTGTTCAGCCTCGTAATGAGACACACATATATACATAGTGCTTATGCATAGATGTTTTAGTTCTTATTGTAAAGAGCGATGTGTCCACCAACCAAAGTCAAAGAGACATTCTCAACGAATTGTCGGCCTGATGACCTATTGATGCCATTATCCTCATACCTGCAATAACACTACTTCCTATCTTATCTCTTGTTCGACTAAATAGTTCAGCGACGTACCGGAATCAAACTCTCAGAATTTGGCTATACTAAAAAGATACAAGTAAGAAGGCTATAATCGAGTAAGATTGACGACTACACCATCCCCTTTAAATAATAAATGCACCAACAATTGTATATTATCTTTATGTAAATGAATCACTTTCGTACAGGTACTCAAAAGTCACTCTAAACTAAACTTGGCAAACTTGATTTAATTTTCAAAGATTTGATTACATTCCATAACAAATCACAAATTAGGCTTTGTCGCCATAGAAGCATTTGCTTTCATGGGACCCCCTATATAAGGTGGGGTCTAAAAGATAGATCTTTGTGACCCAATTTATCTATGGTCAAGTTACTAAGGGCAAATTTTCATCATAAAGTATTAGAAATTAAACCTTTTAGGCATATCAAGCCTTATTTTTCATTAGAACCCTTACAGGATAAGTTGAGATCCAAAAATTAGACCTATATGCCCTAAATTCACTAAATTTAATTTCCACGTCAAATCATTATTATGATCGAATTTTCACTAAGGAGTGTTGAAAGTTAGGCCTTTTCACCATATAAAAATTGTGGTCCCGCAATAAACGTTATATGTCAAGTGTCAAGGAATTGGGTCGTTCCACTCGATATTTTCACACCACTTTAGGATGTCGAGATACTATTATTAAGGCATTTTTGTCGCAAATTTCTGCAAATGACAATATTTTTTCGGCGTAACGTTTTATCCAAATGAGGAGTGGTCAGTGCATTAAATTTCATCAAAATATCTTAAAAGTTGCAATCGGTAGACTGACCAAGAGAGTGAATGGGCAAACGTCAGCATCCAGAGGGACTGACGGACAGACAAGCTTAGATCGATTCAGAAAGTGACTCTAACGAAAGGTGAGTCTGTCTCAAGTCCTTCTGGTGTAGTGAAAACACAATTAAAAGGTTCATTTTATTGATTACTTTACATCTGACTATCTTACTATCTTACTATATGACTTTACTGAACTGTGGTAAGTAATTTACATAATAACTTATTATGCTAACTTAAGCAAAATAGTGGAATTAAACTAAGCTATTACTAAAGTTACATGTAAGGCTAGATTGCCTTATATTAACTAGGTTATAACTTGACTTGCAGTATATGGAAATATGTGTAGAACAGATCTTAACTAGGTTACAGTCACCTTTACATTATGTGGAAATATAATAAAGTGTGAACTAAGCATAAATGATTATTGGATGGGTAGATGAGGATAAATCGATACTGCTACACTGGATGTTACAATCGTTTGCAGAAAGTTAATATACTTTGTACCTCAATTGGTGTAATGCATATTGTACATAAATTTATTTTGTATAAAAAAAAGTCAATTTTATTATCCAATAAATGGTTAAACTTCCAATTATGGCTGTGATAACAAACAAATGCTTTTAATCGCGTACGTGTTTCATTGCGGTCTGCAACATTTGTTCGTTTTTTGATTTCCATTTAATTGTTTCATAAAAACGAC